AAAACATGGACTCCTTGCTTGCTGCACCGTCCAGGGCAAGCAGCTCTACAAAAAGAGCCTCTGCCTCATCTCCACCTGCTGCTTCAGCCAGAGATGTTGCAGGTTCTGCTGCCGGCAACGGAGCTGATGGCGGAGCAGATGCCTGAACACAAATTGAATTTCGAGCATTTCAGCCTGTTGTTCCGACATGTGATAACTCTGTTGTGATTCTTCCAGAACATAACAATCTTGTGCTTGTGATGTTGGCATTGCAACCCAACAGTTGACACTCTATGCAAGAGGGATGCTTTGGCGGCCTTCTCTTTGGCCAAGCGCAGGTCATCCCTCACCCCTTCTAGGTCCCAATGGCCCGATGCATCATCAAAATAATCCTCCTCAAAACGCATTTGCACTGCACACAGACAAACTAATCTGACACGCAGCGTCTCCTGAATGTTCTACAGTGTTGCGCATGCCGCCACCAATTCTTTCGTATCAGTGTTAGGAAGATGTGGCATTTAGGCAGTGCCTTAAGGTGCTTTAGTGCTTTGACGGGATGTCACAAGGAGACCTTCAAGTTTCAGCTCTTTTCTGACGTGTCTTGGCCCCTTTGTCTGATACACCCTCAGAATGCCCGTCAGCTTCCGCCGTGTAATCGGGCTATCAACTCTTATCCAGATCTGCACTCATGCGTCAAGTACTCGATACAAACTTTCCAGCCTGTGTCCATGTGTGAGAAGGGCAAAGACATGGATCAGGCCGATGTTGCTTCATCATCGTGAGCCAAGGGGTAAGAGCTATATATATATATCATACGTCGATCCCAAAGATGGCAGTCTGGCAAATGTCAGGCTCCGTCTTTTCAGCCACGCCAAAAAGGAATACATGAAGCTGTTTGACAGGACTTCAGGATGTTGCTGGACAATTGTGGGAAAGGTTTGCAGCAAGGCAAATGGCAAATGCCCTACCTACCACAAAGTCCAGATTGGATCGATCCATTCTTTCGTTAATGCTGATCCCGGATGCATATCCTTCAGCTTACATCTATGTCCAACTGTGTTTGTAAAAGGTGTGTAAGTGTAACAGCGTGCCAGAGGCTAAGACGCTAAGCACCATCAAGGTTTTGTGGACTCCTTGCTTGCTGCACCGTCCAG